AAGCCCGTAAATTGTCACTTTTGGCATCTCTCTTTGAGCCATTTGCACCAATCGCAATCGTCAAACATCGATCGAACTTCAATTCTTTTGGTGAAATCGTTCGAAGCGTACGCAGAGTTTAATTGAAAAGTGCGTGAAAACTGGGTCGAATATTCGCGACGAATCCCCGGATTCGCGACTCCCACTTTATGCGAGCGACGTATCGTCATTTTGACGCAGCTACCATGATTGATTCGGTATCACGGATATTTCGCTCTTTGTACTATTTTTTACCAATATATATTCAACGAATTAAGTCCTTTTTCAAAGACCTTACAATACCAAAAATACGGTCAAATTAATTTTAATAATCAGTAAGCTACTTAAATAAGGTCGTTCTATTGTTACTGCAATATCTAACTCACATTATTATACAGTTGTGCTATGCAAAATATTCGGACTAAGAATATATTTTTAAATGATATTATTGATTCACTAAAAACTAATATTTCAATATATATACCTCTAAAATGTATATCACATGTACCAAAAATTTTTATTTTCATCCTACATCATCATATGAGGTTTCACCTCAAGTTGCATAGAAGTCCAGCTAAAAAACCAGCACCAAAAAATATCCGCCGCCATTCTATTTTATTTTATAAAAGATCCTCAGAATATGAACAATAAATCGCATATTCATCTCGTTACAACGCGAGAGAACATCAAAAGTTACAGATGCACTTTAGAGCTCAAAGGTAGCCTAATCCCCGACCGAATGGCCGCGCTGCGACTTCGATGATTACGATGCGGTTCATCTCGGTCGCAGTTGGGCTCCGTAATGGATGCCGCATAAAGAGGGACGCGGTTGTTGCCGGTTTCATGGAAACGCGATCGAAGTTACAGGATGGCGACAGTTCTAAGGATTGAATTGCAAAAGGGAACTAGGCCGTGCCTATCTGACGAAGTACGGTTCACAGACAGCCGTGTTGCATATTATTGGCAAACGGGAACAATGGCGGACGTGTCGCGTAGAGAACGTTTTATTCTGCTGAGCAATTATGTCAGTGTGCTTAGAGTTTCCAACTCTACTGAGCCACCGGTACAACTTCTATGCTCGCATGGAACACGTTGTGCCAGTTAATTTATCGCGTTTAGTACGTTTGTGCTCTTCTTTTTCGACCTCTTTACGCGTGAACGGTGTTGGGTGATGGATTTGGAGAGATTCGTTGGTGGCGAATTTTAGCAATGGTAGAGGATTTGGAGAATTTTAGCGGGTTTGGTTACGTTGGGTGATGAATTTTAGTAGTTCTGGTACGTTGGGTGATGAATTTTAGTGGTTTGGTATGCTGGTGATGAATTTTAGCAATTTTGTACAACTTTCTAATTTCTAAACAATATGCAAGTTGAATAAGTAGAGCAAGTCTCGTATGTGATCATACAACCCGCGTACAGAAGCTAAACGATCAAATAGTGCAATGGGAATAGGTGGTCAGACAAGTAGAAATGACCAATATATGGTCAGACGAGTAGAATCAGTAGGCTGTCAGACAAGTAGTACGATCAGTATACAGTCAAACGAGTAGTACGATCAGTACGCAGTCAGAAAAGTAATACAATCAGTATGTAGTCAGACAAGTAGAGTATGATCAGCATGTAGTCAGACAAGCAGTGTACAACTACTAGAGGTTAGACAAGTAGAATAAGTCTATTATGTGATCAGCTCAACCATGTGATAGGTGAGCAAGTACAAGTTTCTTAATTTCGAAATATGCATAATAGTATGCAATCAGTTGGTGGTCAGACAAGTAGAATGCGACTAGTGTGTAGGCAGACAAGTTGAATATGACCAGTATGTAGTCAGACCAGCGGAGTACGAGTAATATGTGGTCAGACAAGTAGAATATGACCAATAGGTAGTCAGACAAGTGGAGTACGACTATTAGGTGATCAGACAAGTAGAATATGAGCAGTATGCAGTCGAACCAGTGGAATACCACCGGTATGCAGTCGGAGAAGTAGAATACGAACACGTGGTCAGACAAGTAGAAGAAGTGCAGTAGGTGCTCAGACAAGTAGGGTACGACCAAGATGTAGTCAGACAAGTAGAACTAGTACAGTATGTGGTCAGACAAGTGGAGTATGACCAACACATAGTCAGACAAGTAGAACTAGGTTAATGTCATTTAAGCTCGAGTACGTATCATCTACCTTAAAACTACTTTAATGTTCACATATTTAGATATTATAAAAATATTTCATTTTCAAATCTTCGAATATATTAATCTTTAATCAATCTCATCAAAATCTTTGTCCCAATGCAAATTTTCCTGATGGAAACTTAATAAACAAAGGACAAAAGACGCTCCTTTCCTGTCACAATTCTTACATTGTACTTATTATTCCCACCGAACGTTTATAAATAAATTAAGAATCTTGAAGTTACAAAAATTACAAAGTCTACCCTCGTTAATCGAAAAAGCTATCCTTCGAGCTGGAATTTAATAGCAACGAAACAATACATTTTCGAATTACAACTGTCTTCTACTTAATCCATCTCGTCGTTTCGTAAATTTCATGCTCACAATCAGAATATCTCAGCATCCTCCACAAACAATAGCTGGATTCGCCATTGCTCGTTAACGTAAAGTAAACAGGAATAAGAACGAGGAAAGATGCTGGTAATTACAGCAAAATTCTGAGATCTCTCTCGAAACAAGATTTGCTGTGTGATATTTTTAACAGGGAACAAAGAATGCTGTTAGCGTGTAAAAAGCTTGCATGAATATCAAACTTTTTCATCCTCTAAATATTCTTTGTTTAAATTACTCTTTTCTTTGCGTTCTTGCATTATTAAATTATTTCTCGAAACGTATTTACGTTATTAAACATTTCTTCAATATACAGATAATCACGTAATTTATTCATATTTATTAAAAATGGAATTTCCAGGTGCATTTAGAATCTTTCCCAGAATAGAATTCGTTTTTCATTTCACGTATGGTACAGTATTTGTATGAAAATTCTGGGAATTTGAAACTGACACAGTTTCTACGCAACATTTTTATAAAATAAAATTCTGTAGTCTACTTTTTTTATGTTACCAGTTCTAACTTTTAGTTTCCTGTTTCGAATGTTACAGCCCGAGAGTTGAATATTTCTGTAGTATCTATAGGGTGTCTCTGTAACTTTTTCAACCATTTTTGTTTCATATTTACTGAGTCATACTAAACAAAAAGTGAATATTGGATAGTGTCATAGAATTTATTGGGAACGATTTCAATGTTAGTAAAATAGGAGAAACAGTATAAATATAAAAATGTTATAACAATTTATTAGTAAACGAATAGTATTTTTCCTGTTTTTTACTTTCGTAAATAGGTTATGTAGAGGTTATATGTATAGGTTAGGTTAGGTTACGTAGGTTATATGTATAGGTTAGGTTAGGTTATGTAGGTTATATGTATAGATTAGGTTAGGTTATATAGGTTATATGTGTAGGTTATGTTAGGTTATATAGATTGTATGTATAGGTTAGGTTAGGTTAGGTTATGTATCTTGCATTATATGATTAATTGATTTGTTTGCTAAGCAATGCTTCAGGTTCTGTTTTTAATTAAAACACAATAAATTCATATTATTTTAATTATTCTAATAATTCTATGATTTTTTAAAAATAATTGTATGAATAACAATATAAAAAGCCAATAGTACACTCAACATTATTGATTCCAAGCAACCCACTAATTACCCCAAAAGAACTAACTCCACCGCCCAGTACAAAACTTGCGAAAATTTGCTTAAAAACACGAACGCCAGTATTCCGCCAAAAATTCGTTAAATCGATAAACTTTTCCGGCACATCGCCCCGAGGAAAGTGGCACTTTGTTCCCAGCGTGTTCTCGCATCTGCACAGCAGAAAAAATTGAAATTTTACAGCCCGACTTTCATAGACGGACAAAAAAGGAAATCCGCGCGAAATCTCCGGAATCGTTGTTCCTTACATTTCGTGAGCGCGCATCGAGGACAGGAATGGTCGGAAAAAATTTCCGAATAATTTTTCTCCGCTTCCAACGATATTACGGGGCGGCGGGCAAAAGACAAAACTAAGGTAAATTCATTTTCTCGGAATAGTCGCCGCACAAATGGAACAATATTTTCGCCCCCGTTCCACCCGACGAAATGAGACCTCGCCGTAAGTTAGACGACACCGGGTATACATTTTCCAGGACACACCGGATACGGAACCGTGTGTGTCCTCCGCGTTTCCTGCCAGTCGAAACGCTTTAACGCCCGCGCTCGTTGCACCTGCTGCTGAACGACGCCAACCTGGATGACTTATGAGGCGAATCTTTCATCCACTTGCGAACCAATGCCTTCTTTCCGTCCTTTATGAACGCGGCCTGAATCGCGTGTCCGGTGATAAAGCTACGGGACATTAAAGTCCTCGGACATTTCGACACCGATGGAGTTATAGTTTCATTTCGAGATATTGATCACACCTGACGGATGGATATTAGGATGCTTTATTTCAAGTCTCGCGTAATTGGAGACACGCTATAACGTGTATCGTAAAATGTCGAATAAATTCTTTTGTAGGAAAAATACGGAGACATTTGTCGATTTTTAGGAATGTTTGGAACTGCAATTGGACGTAAACTGGGTACTGCAAAAATATTTACTGTAGTGGAGGGAAATAAATTTAAGCTTAAGGAAAATATTCGTCGATTTTTAAGGATCGGATTAGGGAACTTAGGAGACTAGCTAACTGTTAGAGGACCGTAATCTTTGTGGACCTGTACATTGAGGAATATTAGAGGATCTAATACATCATAATACAATTTAGTACAATTTAACACAATTTGATATAATTTCATTTACGATTCACCCAAGTATGATGAACCATGAATTAAGTGAAGTTTGATGAACCATAAGTTGGACATCATCAGTGTTAGAGCGTAAGAAGCTGATCCCCAAAGAGGTACAATCTCACGAACTATGTACACAAAGGATAGACTCACCTAAGTCGAAACAGTGACATCGCGGGAGGGACAGTAGAACGAAAACACCGATTAGAAGTCCTCGAAGAGGACCCGGGTCTGTTCTGGGTTCGAGAACTGGCATGTTGCTGGTGACCTGAGCCATCGGCACGCCGACAAGCCGCTCCTCCTCATCACTAACTGTCGACGATCCTGACCGCATCGGTCATCGAGCACGTTCCTGGCATCGTGATGGCCGAAAGGTGGTGAGTGTTCTCGCCGATATCCTGCGCACAGAGTAATCCACGTTAATACTCTCTAGACGTCTCCAGAAATGTCGCTAATAGATAGCCTAAATTGGTTATTGCCGCGTTGCATCGGCATTAACGAGAATTAGGGACGACCCACATTGCTCCCGTCAATATTTCTCGCTTCGATTTGGAATATTTCGGAATTGATTAATCATCCGTTTGTGGAAAATATTTGTTCATACTTTCACGAATATTTAAAAACAGTATCATATTTCATTACGATGATATCGTATTTCATGGAGAGTACGTGAAATGAATATCTTGCTGATAAGTGCCTGAATTGATTGATATTGGACTGCATATCAACAGAGCTAGGTTTAAATGCTTGTAGATATGGAATGAGCACAATGTTCAATACAGGGACAGATTTGTAAAAAATATTGTGTATCTCAATCAAAATATTCATTATATTTTTTGTGATTCAAGATTGTTCACGCTGTAACAAGTGTTTAAAAACAGTATCATATTTCATTATGATGATATCGTATTTCATGGAGGGTATGTGAAATAAATATCTTGCTGATAAGTTCCTGAATTGATTGATATTGGACTGCATATCAACAGAGCTAGGTTTAAATGCTTATGTATATAGAATGACTACAATAATGTTTATACGAATGCAAGTCATTGTATTTCATTTAATGAACTATTATACTAATATGAAAGATAACGACATTTTCAAAACTACATATATAAAATTATAATCCGAATCAGCTTACCGCAACTCCAGAAGACTTAAAATAAAATAAATCGATTCTAACCCCTCATCAGGGACCTTTGATTGATAAGTACCGTTCACCTGGAGGATCAATTAATCCAAAAAGTACTTTTATTCCAATCGCTGATTTTTAAATTGAAAGAGTTTCTAACTCATCGAATTCAAATGCTGCTGACATCCGAGGCTCACCCTAGTTTGTCCCCTTTAGATTCCTGCAGGAAGCATCCGGGATTCGTTTGAAACTCCTAGTTATTCCGACCGCGTCGTATCATGTAGGAAGTTCCCGGACAGTATACAACTATGTACGTAGCCGAGCAGCAAGAACGCACGGGAGATGCTGCTCTAAACAATCCTGCTGTCTAAGGGTTAGAAATAATTAGTGGCGGTACGACTTTAATCTACAGACATTGTAGCAGCATTAAAACGGGATGTGATGCATTAAGCTTGAGTTTCAACATTCGCCTCACGTTAATTGAACGATCTATTTGCGAATCTTGGGGTGTAAGTAGAAAGGGTAAGTGGTCAGACATGGTAATCCCCTTTGATGTTAGTCTCATGTTATTATGTTTGACACTTTTGTAAATATTATCTTGGAGAAACAAAGCTCTTGGACTTTTCAGTTAATGAAATTTATAAAATTTATATATTTATAAATTTATGGGTGTTCTTCTTATTTATGGGGGACTTCTTATTTATGGGTGTTCAAGTTTAAGTAGTATGGGTGCGATGGTCAGACTCGATGATAAAATTTTATTTTATCACTAAAGTAATATTTTAGGTGAGATAGTCAGACACGTTAAGATATTTTCTTTAACAAGTTCGTACATCATAATACTGTTGTGTTAGACATTTTTTTTTATTGACAATATAAAGTCCTAAGAGTAGCATATGTCAAAAATGATAGAGTTGTCCTCCTTGCTCATGAGTATCAAAATTTAAGTAGTGCAGCAGCATCAATGGTCAGACATGCTAAGATATTTTCTTTAACAAGTTCATACATCACAACTCTGTTATGTTAGACGTTTTTTTTTATTCATAATATGAAGTTCTAAGAATATCATATACCTAAAAGTATAAAATTGTCCTCTTTGCTTATGAGTATCAAAATTTAAGTAGTGCAGCAGCATCAATGGTCAGACATGCTAAGATATTTTTTTTAACAAGTTCATACACCCTAACTCTGCAATGTTAGACACTTTTTTTTATTCATAATATGAAGTTCTAAGAGTATCATATACCTAAAAGTATAAAATTGTCCTTTTTGTTTATGAGTATCAAAATTTAAGTAGTACAGCAGCATCAATGGTCAGTCATGCTAAGATATTTTCTTTAACAAGTTCATACATCATAACTCTGTTATGTTAGACACTTTTTTTATTCATAATATGAAGTCCTAAGAGTACCATTCGTCTAGAACTATAAAATTGTCCTCTTTAATTATGAACCTCAAAATTTAAGTAGTGCAGCAGCATCAATGGTCAGTCATGCTAAGATATTTTCTTTAACAAATTCATACATCATAACTCTGCTATGTTAGACACTTTTTTTATTCATAATATGAAGTCCTAAGAGTACCACATGTCTAAAACTATAAAATTGTCCTCTTTAGTTATGAGCCTCAAAATTTAAGTAGTAAAGCAGCATCAATAGTCAGACGCACTAATACAATTCTCTTAAGTGTCATTATGTTACGTTATAATTAACAAGTAACAAATGGGATATTCTTGAGAGAAAACGTTAATTATACCACTGTCATACTGTTCGTTTATCGACGTTTAAAAGAAGAGTATGCTTGAATCACGTAATATGAAGGTAGAACGTTATCCGACCGGGAACGTGTCTCTGTTTTTCATGTAACGTTTCAAGGATGCGAAACCGAGTCCGTGTAACATTTGATATATAGCTATAGAGCACGAAGAGGCTCGTAAAGCCGTCAGAAACAAGTGTTACGCCCTGTATCGAGCTTGTAAGATATGACGGAATGCATGTATGGAAACCTATAACGGAACTCTGAGGTTAAGCACTTTGAATAACGAGTACAAAATGACCTGACGTGGTTTTTCCATCCAAAGATAGAATTTCTAATTTTTTGCAAAAAAAGTAGTTATTCAATATTTTATTTGACAGGAATTTTATGTTACGAAATTTTAGTGAAACTTAAAACGTAATCGGTGGAAGTCATTTGCTGCCCAAATGGAATCAATGACTACGATATCTAGAATAAAATATTATAAATTAACATCTCAGTACGATTATTAATATTAATACTACAACGAAGTAACGAATCGAAAGCTAATTGTAATTTTTGTCCAATTTCGGTTAATTTTAATTTTCGTTTAAATTGAGCTAATTTTACTTATCGTTTAATTAGAGTAAATTTTAATTTCCAGTGAATTGAAATTCTCGTTCGAGTTAACCACAATTTTCGTTTAATTTACAGAAAATAATTGCGTCTACAGCAACTTTTCTTGTAATCTGCCTAACAACCAAAGTCTGTTTTCGCAGCAACAGTAAACCCGTTAATGCAAGATAAACAATTGCGAAAATTTACATTTCCGTACCGAGCACGTTCCCTATCATCGTCTTCAGAACGTAAACTGCAAAAGGAGAGCAATAAACCAGTAACAAATTCTCCCGAGACGTCGGAGTAAATTTTAGATGAACAGCGATGCTTTAAACGGGCTGACATTGTTTCCCCCAGCGAACGATGAAATAATAATTACCTACAATACCGAAGATAAATCGAAACGAAAAGAATCGGTTACACGAAACTTTCAACTACACAACCAGTAATTTATCGTCTGCATTTCTATATAAATTTCAAAAAATACTTAAAAAGATTTCAATCGTGCCTGAGATAATATTGTCGGGGAAAGTTCTCGAGGCAAAATGCTGTAAGATTGTAAGTGGAATTGTGAGCAATTTCCTCGGCAATTCTCGTAACAAGCACTTTCCGTAAGAACCTGCTCATGAGCGCGAAAAAACTTCGCTCTCTGAACTTTATCCGCAAGTCTGTTTAATTAACCGGTCTTTTGTTGCGAAAGCAACTGATATAATTAACCGCTAAGTTGACGATGTTTCTAAATCAAAATTCACTTAAAATAAACAATTTATCCAAATCAAGATAGAATGAATTTTCAGAGTGTTCATTTTTTATGGTGTAATTAAATATACAAGCTTGTAGATTTGTAATACGAAAATTATTCAAATTGTAAAATTTTTAGGTTTTTCACTTTTCAGAGCAGTTTGCAAATTTTCAAAGTTGCAGCTACACAAAATGTTGGACTTCTGATTAAACAAAAATTGTAATAGAGTTGCTGCTAAATATCAAGGACACGAATGTTTGAGTTCTGTAAAATTATTTGTGACTTCTGTAAACGTCCTAAATACCTATTCGTTGAGTAGCATTATCTATCGATGATAGGGGAGGTTTTCAGATAAAATATTTTAATAGATGGCTAGTTTTCCTTAAATTTGAAAAGTTACTCTTCCGACATACTGCGTGTAACAAGATGAACGAAGAGTGGACATCGTGAAGCCCCTAACAGGTCATGCAATACAAACTACCAACTCCGTCGTACAAAACCACCCTATTTTCGATGGACCTTCACGGTATGTCGAGCATCGTCATTACGTCGTGTGTAGACGCAGACGGGAAACAGAGACCTTGGATTTTTCGGATGCAAATTTTATTCCTTTCCTCCGTCGTCGCTGCTTTTTTCCCGACTTGCCAGTTTCTTTAACCGGCCCTTTTTTTTCTCCCGCGGGATCCTTTACGCGTCGACGAGCAGAGTCGACTGAGTTATCGCGGCACGGTTTTTCGCGACTTTCGCGAGATCGTGAAACGAACCTGTCCGACCTACCGGAAACGGGGGGAAAGAAAACGGAGCCCGGCAAAAAGCGACGAGTTAATGAATTCTGACAACCGACCTGACAGGTTTATCTTGCATGAAGAAAGATTTACGGCCGATCAGCCGGCTCTGACTCCTTAATGTGCCCCGTGGGGGAATTGCTAGGATAAAATGATCTTTCGGAGAATTGTCGACCTTGGATAAACTTGTTACGCGGCAGACTGTTTTTTGTATAATTGGATTTATGAGAGGGGTAGATGGTCGTTTCTATGGCTCTTGGACTGCTCATTTTTATATCGTTTTGTTATTCTTGCGCAATAGTGTTTTTCATATAATAATGATCAACGAAGTGATTTGATCATTATTGATGGATTGATCAAAGGATCAATTTTTTTTGTACTTGTCGT